GGGCAGGTGACCTCAGGCGCTTTCTCAACAAGCTTCCACACTCTCCACCTGGAAAACATTTAAGTGCGTGTTTCTACAAAGTAGTCTGCAATTAAACTGCAGCAGAAGAGGCTCTGCTCCAGGCCACAGCAAGTCGCTGATGGACCCAGCAGGTGACATCAGGTGTTGGACAGTGGTGGCTGGGGTCAGTAGGGGCCCAGTAGCATATTGTTGCCTTGTGGCCCCCCCAACAAGCTACTCAGCCTTCTGCACCTGTCAAACTCTTTTTACTGACACATAGCCTCACGCTCCTTGTGTTTTCCTAACGCAGCAGGTGGACAAAACGCTGAGATACAAAAACCATTTGCCACCAAGTCCACTGGGCCTGTTATTCCTAGTCTAACCTCCCCCTGTTTCCCCCCCAGTTCAACATTTGATTGGGGCTCTGAGGATGACCAGTCTATCCAGTGGTTGGAGGTCTGGTGGGGGCGGGGGGTTTTGCGGTCAGTTAGGGGGTTGGTACTTTGATTTTTGGTCACTGCTCTTTTTTTGGGGCCAGAGAGAATGAGCGAGCACTGAAGGAAGCTGGACTAATTAGTTCTGAGATCAATAAGAAGAGATGGAGCTATGCCTCTCTCCAGATGTGCAGGCAGTGCATTGATTAGTGCTGGGCAGTTGGATACCTCTGTCCACCATCTCTTCCCACCACCTCTCCCCAGACGAGGCGTCCTGGTTGTGCCACTGACGCCTCTGAGCTCCACTGTGACATTTATTCGTTTCTACTCACTGAGCAGCAGAGCGAGAAATAACTGTGTGATAGGTGCAGAAAGAGAAATTCTCTGGTGCTTCTTCTAACTGCAGCAGTTGTCTTTGCTTGTTAGGAACCGAGCCTTTTGCTCTGTCGATGGGGTGATTTGCTCCTTTGCCTGACTCGTCGGCTCACGTGTAGCTCACACCAGGGCTGGTGGCCGCGGGCGCCTGTTTCACATGAACAATGGCGGCCTGCCAGCGGAATGCTGATTGGGCATAATTGGGAGTTAGTGATGCTGTGTAATTAGAATGATTACAGTCATCAAGTCCTCGTGGAGACTCCTCGCTGTTCAACGAGGTCGGCCTGAGAGTCGTGCAGCACTTCTGTGGCGATATGCAAAAACCTCAGTGGAGTTTACTCAGATGATGCAGATGCACATTTTTATTATATTTGTGACTTATTTACTGGTCTGTAGTGGGTTTTTTTGTTTTATAAGACCAATTTTTACTTTACTTTTAAGAGGAAAACACAGCCTCGGTGCATTCTGGGTAATGGACCTGAACACATTCATCCAAGTGATGATGCTCATTTTCTGGTTGTGGGCGACAACCCTTCTGTCCTAACAGCTGCAGTGTACAGCTCTTTTAGTGGGGACGCTCCTTCACATAATACGTTTCCTGACCTTGACCTTCACAACTAAAAGTCTAAGCTGAACCCTAGGACCATTAATAAATGTCATGCAAGCAACAACTCACACAATCAGTAAAGCAACATAAAAAACTGTAATAAAGATTCATCTAAACAAACAGTAGACACGGTATCAGCTCATTCAGCATTTAGCCACATTTGTATTGCACCTTTGATTTGATTTGATTTATTCTTTCAAGCATGTAAAGACAGTTGATATGTCAACACACATAATTTTACACATATCCAACAAATGCTAATCCAATATCAAT